AGGCAACTAAAGAAAAAAATAAAGAAATGGGATTATATCAAACTTAAAAGCTTCTGCACAGCAAGGAAACAATCAAAGCAAACAGAGTGAAAAGACAACCTACAGGATGGGAGAAAATATTTGCAAACTATGTTATCTGACAAGGGATTAATATCCAGAATATACAAGGAACTCAAACAACTTAAGAAGAAGAAAAAAATAATGATCCAATTAAAAAATGGGCAAAGGAACTGAATAGACATTTCTCAAAAGAAGATATACAAATAGCCAACAGGTATATGAAAAAATGCTCAACATCACTAATCATCCGGGAAATTTTTGCATCTATATTCATCAAGGATATTGGCCTGTAGTTTTCTTTCTTGGTTATATCTTTATCTGGTTTTGGTATCAGGATGATGTTTGCTTCATAGAATGTGTTTGGAAGCTTTGCTTCTGTTTCAATCTCTTTAATAAGTTTTATTGTTTCGGGGTGTATATTTAAATCCTTTTCCCTGGGATGAATCCCACTTGGTCGTGGTGAATGATCTTACATATGTGTTGTTGTATTCTGTTTGCTAATATTTTATTGAGGATTTTTGCATCTATATTCATCAAGGATATTGGCCTGTAGTTTTCTTTCTTGGTTATATCTTTATCTGGTTTTGGTATCAGGATGATGTTTGCTTCATAGAATGTGTTTGGAAGCTTTGCTTCTGTTTCAATCTTTTGGAATAGTTTGTATAGAATTGGTGTCATTTCTTCTTTGAATGTTTGGTAAAATTCTGCTGTGAATCCATCTGACATTGGGACTATTTCCAAAAATCAAATACATCTTCATGTTGTCCACTTCTCAGTTTTAGTAAGTAAAACACTGGCAACACAATTTATTTCCCTTTTCCTCAGTGAAACCCAGTCCCCATCACAAATAGCAGTTCTGGCCCTGTCCTCAGATGCTTAGGCCGGGTAGGTGGGGCCCTGTGCTGGCATGCTCCTGAGTACTGTGGCTGCCTGGTCTTGTGGTGAGCCTGTGCTCTCTTCCTTTGTGTTGGTGCTTCTTCCAGCTGGTGGGTCTGCATCTCTCTTACCTGTCTCCTGACAAACCTGATGTTCACAGCTATTTCCATTCACTTTATGCAGGGCAGAAGTAGATGTTACCAAGGTGAGTCAGGAAGTATCGCAGAATGACGTCACCAGATTGAAAACTTAAAAGTGTGAATGATGACCTCTTCTACAGAACTGAGTGCTGTAACTTTCTGCCCTCTACCTTTCTTGGGCTCAATGTCCTTTTAGTGGTTTTTAGTACGTATACTCAGAGTTGTGCAGCCATCCCCACTATCTAATTTTGAATATTTTTATCACCCCACAAAGAGACCTCATACCCCCTGCCCTCCACCCCTGGAAATCACTAATCTGCTCTCTGTCTCTATGATTTGCCTCTTCTGGACACTTCATATAAACGGAATCATGCAATATGTGGCCTTTTGTGTCTGACTTCTTTCACTTAGCATAATGTTTTCAAGTTCATCCATGTTGTAGTATGTATCAGAACTTCATTTCTAATTTTTATGCCTGCATAATATTCCATTCTATGGATATATTACATTTTATTTATCCATTCATCAGCTGATAAACTTTTGGGATGTTTCCAGTTTGGGACTGTTATTTGAATAATGCAGTTATGAACATTTGTGTACAAGTTTTTGTGTGGACCTGTTTTCACTTCTCTTATGTATATACCTAGGAGTGGAATTGCTAGATCTTACGGCAACTCTATATTTAACTTTTCAAGGAACTACCTGTGTTTCAAAGTGGCTGCATTATTTTACATTCCTATCAGCAATGTGTGAGGACTCTGATTTCTCCACATCTTCACCCACACTTTTTACTTTCTTTCGTTATAATTGTAGCCATCCTAGTAGGTGTGAAGTAGTATCTCATTGGGGTTTTGATTGGCATTTCCCTAACAACTAATGATATTGAACACTTTTTTTAATGTGCTTATTGGCCATTTGTACATCTTTGGAGAAATGTCTATTCAGAAACTTTACCCATTTTTAAACAGGGTTATTCATCTTTTTATGGTTGAGTTGTAAGAGTTCTTTATATACTCTGGATATAACTCAGATATATGATTTGCAGATCTTTTCTCCCATTTGGTAGATTGTCTTTTCACTTTCTTGATGGTGACCTTTAAAGCACACATTTTCAGGGCCGGACCTGTGGCGCACTCGGGAGAGTGCGGCGCTGGGAGCGCAGCGACGCTCCTGCTGCTTGTTTGGATCCTATATAGGGATGGACGGTGCACTCACTTGCTGAGCACGGTGCAGACGACACCAAGCCAAGGGTTGCGATCCCCTTACTGGTCACGAAAAAGACAAAAAAAAAAAAAAAAAAAAATTTCAGTTTTGGTAAAGTCCAGCTTCTCTGTTTTTTCTTTTGTCACTTGTGCTTTCAGATATTCTATTTGATGTATTCCATGACTTGTCTGAAAAATCTGATTTATTCACTGGGAACATAACTGTATTATTCTCAGTTTCCCTGATTTGGAATTATAAAGCATTTGATTTAAAATGTTTGCCAACTATACGAGGGTACTTCAAAAGTTCATGGAAAGATTTGTACTATCTTTTAATTCTATTTTTTTATGAACTTTTTTTTTTTTCCTTTTTTGTCTTTTTTTACTGACCGGTAATGGGATCGCAACCCTCGGTGTCGCGCCCGTACCGGGGACCGGCAACGGGATCGCAACCCTCGGTGTCGCGCCCGTACCAGGGACCGGCAACGGGATCGCAACCCTCGGTGTTGCGCCCGCACTGCGCTCAGCCAGTGAGCGGGAACCAGTCTCCATATGGGATCCGAACCCTCGGCGGGAGTGCCGCCGCGCTCCCAAGCGGCGCACTCTCCAGTGTGCCACCGGGCCGGCCCTTTTTATGAACTTTTTGAAGTAGCCTTGTATATAAAGGAGCTTAGACATGTTGATACTATTTGAGCTAGTAAACACATTTCTGTGTACTTAGCCTCAGGAAATAATTTGATAGAAGAAAAACATCCAATATGTCCAGAGATGTTTATTTCACTGTCATCCATGCAAATGGGATGCTGTTCAACAGCTGGGGTGGGTGGGTGGGGGGATGAGTTAAATCCATTGTGGAACATTATTAGGCAGCTATCAAATGTTATAATTATGAAGCTTCTATAACAGAAAAGTTTATGATGTAATTTTCAGTGAAGAAAACACAAGTGTGTGCTCATTATGATTAAAAATATGTATAAAATCTTTGCACTAGATGGAAGGGCATACAAAATTATAAGTAGTTTTATTTATTTTATTTTGCTGGCTGGTACAGGGATCTAACCTTAAACCTTGGTGTTATCAGCAGCACACTCCAACCATCTGAGCTAAGCAGCCAGCTGGTAGTTTTATTTTCTTAAATTTAATTTAATATTGGTATTTTGTCTTTACAATTAAAAACTAAGTAAAAAATGTGTGCATGACATTTCAAATTGATGGGAGAAAAGTTGACAAGTGGTTATATCTAGGTACATATTTATTCTTAATACCAATTTTTTAATAGCAATTATTTTTATCATCAAAAAAATAGTTTGCTGTGTTTGTTTACTAAGAATTTGAATAGAGATGTTTTAATTTTCTTTTCATTTTTATATCAAATCCAGACACTGATAATTGGATTCTAGTATTAGAATTACTATTATTTTAGTCATTGCAGCATTATCATTTGCTGAAAAGAAAGGTAGTGATGATTATGATAAAGGTAGTGGTGATACATTAGTAACAGGGGTCACAGAAGCACTTTTCTCAAGGGATCTCATGAAATTATTATTATAATCATTTTACGTATAAGAAAATAATTAACTCAGCTTTTGAAATAAATTTCAAACAGATCAAAGATTTAATAGTTGTTTTTTTTAAGGAACAATAAAGGCAACAAAAGAAAAATAAAATGAAAAATAAAAAAGCAAGCCCCATACAAGGTTACACATAAGATGCACACCCAGGGTGAGGCCATGCTTTGAGCTGTTGCACCAGAGAGAGAATGTACAGCTTGTTGGGCCACAAACTGGTTCTATGGATCCCCTGACCCTTCAACCTTCGGCTTCATCTGAGTGACAGTGGTTTGGGGTATAGCCAGTAACTGTGAGGTGATTCCTTTTCTGTGGCTGGAATAGATGTGGTACAGCAGCAGACAGAGAAAGGCCACAGAAAGAGGCCAGGCTCTTCAGCAGCCAGTGTTCCTGCCCACCCCACCCCTGCCATTCACACTGCAGTGAACTTTGTCTCTGGGCCAGGAATGGGAGAGACAGAGTCATCATCTTGTTCTCATATGTGGGAAGGCTATGAAGAGAAAAACCCTGTTGGCCCAAACATTTAAACAAGAATTACACTGGGATCTTTTGTTCTCGCTCTGACATGGTCAGAATTAATTTGGAGGTCTAAAAGAGGGTGTTTTTTGTTTATTTGTTTTGTTTTGTTTTGAATCTGAGTTTCTTAATGCAAGGATAGAGAGGGGGAAAGAAACCAAGAAACATGGCTTACGTCTGTCATACAGTACTGGAACCTCGCCAGGTCATTCTTCAGGGGATATTCACATTGCTTCATTTTGTTAGTGTGTAGGGGACTCCTGACTCAGAGTTCATTTCCACATTGCTGATGGAACTCCTTGTGAAAATACCTAGAAGACAAGCAGTAGAGGGTGTCTGGGTAGCTGAGAAATATGCAGACAGAGCTTAAGAGATCTTAAGGGCCGGCCCGATGGCACACTGCTACAGTGCGCCGCTTGGGAGCGCGGTGGTGCTCCCGCCAAGGGTTTGGATCCCACATACAGACCGGTTCCCGCTCACTGGCTGAGCGAGGTGTGGGCGCGACACCGAGGGTTGCGATCCCGTTGCCGGTCCCGGTGCAGGCGTGACACTGAGGGTTGCGATCCGTTGCCGGACACGAAAAAAGACAAAAAAAAAAAAAAAAGAGAGATCTTAATTTTTTTTCTCTTCTTCCTCAGATTTATAGGGAAAACCTGCTTTCTGCAAACAACTGAAAGAGCTGCCCTTAGAAACTCTTTTCTTTGGCCCTCATGGAGTAGCTAGAACTTGTATTCTGAGGCCATTGGTGGGACAAGCTCTTGCCTGCTGATCACCCAGAAAAACTGTCACCATGGCCAGCAAGAGGAAATCCACCACTCCGTGCATGATCCCAGTGAAGACTGTGGTGCTGCAGGATTCCAGTGCAGAGGCCCAGTCTGCTCAGGTCTTGCCAGAAGGGCCCCAGCAGGATCTGCCCCCAGAGGCGCCTGCCACTAGCAGCGAGGCCACCCAGAACTCCAGCAGTACTGATGGCTCTGCATTGGCCAACGGGCATCAGAGCACTTTGGATGGCTATTTATATTCCTGTAAATACTGTGATTTCAGATCACAGGATGTGACCCAATTTGTAGGACATATGAACTCAGAGCACACAGACTTTAATAAAGACCCAACTTTTGTATGCACTGGGTGCCCTTTTCTGGCAAAAAACCCTGAAGGGCTTTCCTTGCACAATGCCAAGTGTCACTCAGGGGAAGCCAGCTTTGTGTGGAATGTGGCCAAGCCAGACAATCATGTAGTCGTGGAGCAGAGCGTCCCTGAGAGCACTAGCACTCCTGACCTAGTAGGAGAGCCCAACACTGAAGGGACTGATGGACAGGCTGAAATCATCATTACCAAAACTCCAATCATGAAGATAATGAAAGGCAAAGCTGAAGCCAAAAAAATTCATATGCTCAAGGAGAACGTCCCCAGCCAGCCTGTGGGTGAGGCCTTACCAAAGCTGGCAGCTGGAGAGGTGGAGGTGAAGGAGGGGGACAACTCCTTTGTCAACGGGGCAGTTCCAGTCATCCAGGCATCTACAAGCTCCATAAAACCCCCCCATGCCACCAACGGGCCCCTGATAGGAACAGTGCCAGTCTTGCCAGCTGGTATAGCACAGTTCCTCTCCCTCCAGCAGCAACCCCCGGTACATGACCAGCACCACACCCACCAGCCACTGCCCACATCCAAGGCCCTTCCCAAAGTAATGATCCCCCTGAGCAGCATTCCAACCTACAATGCAGCCATGGACTCCAACAGCTTCCTGAAGAACTCCTTCCACAAGTTTCCCTACCCCACCAAAGCTGAGCTCTGCTATTTGACTGTGGTAACTAAGTATCCAGAAGAACAGCTCAAGATCTGGTTCACAGCCCAAAGGCTGAAGCAGGGTATCAGCTGGTCCCCTGAGGAGATAGAGGATGCCCGGAAGAAGATGTTCAATACAGTCATCCAGTCTGTACCTCAGCCCACAATCACGGTTCTCAATACGCCCCTGGTTGCCAGTGCTGGCAACGTCCAGCATCTCATCCAGGCTGCTCTCCCAGGTCATGTTGTAGGACAGCCAGAGGGCACTGCAGGGGGACTTCTGGTCACTCAGCCACTGATGGCCAATGGGTTGCAAGCACCAAGCTCATCTCTCCCCCTCACAGTTACATCTGTCCCCAAGCAGCCAACTGTGGCACCCATTAACACTGTGTGTTCAAACACAACATCAGCTGTGAAGGTGGTCAATGCGGCCCAGTCACTCCTCACGGCATGCCCCAGCATAACTTCCCAAGCCTTCCTTGATGCTAGCATCTACAAAAATAAGAAATCTCACGAACAGCTGTCAGCTCTGAAAGGGAGCTTCTGTCGGAACCAGTTCCCAGGGCAGAGTGAAGTTGAGCATCTGACCAAAGTGACTGGCCTCAGTACCAGAGAGGTGCGGAAATGGTTCAGTGACCGGAGATACCATTGCCGGAACCTGAAAGGCTCCAGAGGCATGATGCCTGGAGATCCCAGCTCCATCATCATTGACTCTGTGCCAGAGGTGCCCGTCTCCCCATTGTCCAAGGCCCCTGAAGTGACCTGCATCCCGGCAGCAGCTACACTAGCAGTGCACCCTTCTGCCAAGCGACAATCTTGGCACCAGACTCCTGACTTCACACCAACCAAATACAAGGAGAGAGCACCTGAGCAACTCAGGGTCCTGGAGAGCAGTTTTGCACAAAACCCCCTGCCTCTTGACGAGGAACTGGACCGCCTGAGAAGTGAAACCAAAATGACCCGAAGAGAAATTGATAGTTGGTTTTCAGAGAGACGGAAAAAAGTGAATGCTGAGGAGACCAAGAAGGCTGATGGGAATGTCTCTCAGGAGGAAGAAGAGCCTGCTGAGGGTGAGGGTGGAGAAGAGTGCCCAGCCATTGAGCTGAGGGTCCCTGGAGAAAATGGTTCCCCAGAGGGGCCCAGCAGCCACACTTTGGCAGAGCGCAAAGTCAGCCCCATCAAAATCAATCTCAAGAACCTGCGGGTCACTGAAGCCAATGGCAAGAGTGAGCTTCCAGGGCTGGGTGCCTGTGAACCTGAGGATGATGGGCCAAGCAAGCTGGCAGAGCAGCCCCCAGGAAAAGTGAGCTACAAAAAGACGGCCCAGCAGCGGCACTTGCTGCGGCAGCTCTTTGTCCAGACGCAGTGGCCCAGCAACCAGGACTATGACTCCATCATGGCCCAGACAGGCCTGCCGCGACCAGAGGTGGTGCGCTGGTTTGGAGACAGCAGGTACGCCCTGAAGAATGGCCAGCTGAAGTGGTATGAAGACTACAAGAGGGGCAACTTCCCACCAGGGCTGTTGGTCATTGCCCCGGGCAACCGGGAGCTGCTGCAAGACTATTACCTGACACACAAGATGCTGTATGAGGAAGACCTGCAGAACCTCTGCGACAAGACCCAGATGAGCTCCCAGCAGGTCAAGCAGTGGTTTGCTGAAAAAATGGGTGAGGAGACCCGGGCCATGGCAGACACAGGCGGTGAGGACCAGGGCCCTGGTGCTGGTGAGCCTGTGGCAGTTCACAAAGGGATGGGTGACACCTATTCAGAGATGTCTGAGAACAGTGAGTCATGGGAGCCCAGCGCCCCTGAGGCCAGCTCAGAGCCCTTTGACACTTCGAGTCCCCAGGCCGGACTTCCACTAGGTAAGGAGTACATGGGAGCCATGGCTGTCCTCTGTGGGTGAGGAGAGGATGCACTCCTGAGGGGCACCTGCTATCTCTGAGGCTGTCTGGCAGCAGGACTAACTGCCTGGCTGCTTCAGGATGGCTGGCAGCAGAAGCCATGGGAGCATAACATGACAAAGGGTTGAGAGTTGTTTTTTTGTTTGTTTTATGTTTTTAAAAACCTGTGCAGGGGAAAGAAGATGGTGAACATAAAGGGGTCCAAGCTTTTCTAGCCATTTCTTAGCAATAGGAGAATAAGTAAATAGGTCAAAACATCATTTGAATCAGGCAGATCCACAACCGGAGAGAGCAATAGGATGTTAAAGGAAATTCAACTGTTCCTTTTGGTGAAAAAAAGGAAAGAGAGCCTTTAATTGTCCTTAGATACATGAAGTACTTTTTTCCAACATTGAAAATCCTGTCTTGTGTTTCTGTCATTCTTTCTTATATACTAGAAATATTTATTGTAATGGAAAATCACCTTCCCTCTTGGACATATACTACAGGATCAAAAGCTTGAATTTTGCTCCTCAGTTTCTCTGGATCATGGTATTTTAATATCTGAATGTAAAATTTAGGAGATGATTTTATCATTTAAGACACAGTTTTCAAGCCCCAGACAAGTCACATTACTGGGTGTTGATTTCTAGGTTCTTGGTCCTTGAGTTCCTAGCCTCTGCCTTTCCTCCCTCACCTTCTATATTTGTCTCCTCATTAGAGGCCCCATCACAGGGCAGCCAGAAGCTCGGGTGGGAGCCAGGAGGAAGGAGTGTTGCAGCAGCTGAAGGGATTGTGGTTCCAAAATGGCAGCCCTTATATTTCCTGGATGTTGTTCCATTGTTTCCATAAAATAGCTGAACATTGTTGTTATTTGTTTATTTTGGCTCAGCAAATCCCAGCTCTTCCACCCCAGTTGCTTTCTAATTAAGACCTCTAAAAAGGACAAAGTTCTTTTTCTTTCTCTGAATATTTTAAATTCATTTGAACACAACAGTTTTGAAAAATAGTTCTGCTGTTGTTTCTTCACTCAGTTAAGGAAACTGAGACTTCCAAGTCTCCCCATAATTTTTAGGGGGAAGGGTGCCATGTTTTCCATCTGTTTAGCATTTGCAGAAAGCCTATCATTTTCATGCTCACATATTAAGGTGAAACCCAGGTCTGCAAAGCAAACAGAGCAAACACCTGGTGGAGTAAGCAGTTAGGGTGTGAGCACAGGGGGCCACTGGCTTCTTGCTGGCCTCTCCAACTCTGGCCATGTTCTCACTGGGGCAAGAGTGGGGGAAGATACTCCTTTCTTCCAGGCCTTATAGCTGATAGCCTGCTTCATGAAGTGGCTGATGGCACATCCTAGAGTCAGAACAGCATGGGAGGGAGATTTCTTATAGCTGGTTTAACCTTTTCAGTACAGAGCAGGTTGTCTCCCCTCTATCACCTGTAAGGCTTTGTGCAAGTTGGGCTAAGTGTCCCTACGTTGTACCCAGCTCTATACTTCTCGTGATTTCCACTAGCCTGGGGTGTCATGCTCAAGGATGTTTGAATAAGTTTGTTACAGAAGCTAACCTGGAAAGAGTGACATCAAGGAAAACTGCAGAGTAGGAAGCACCAGGAATCTGTTCTTCTACCAGAGCATCTATTGAGCTGGGAGTAACCATCTGAAGCAACTATTTTAGAATTCTGAGTCTAGCTGAATGCAACATCCAGAGTAGGGCTTGATGGAGAGACTTGTAAATTTTGGTGAATTTCTATGTTTTACATAGCATCTCCCTGTGCCCCAGCCCTGCAGCAGGCAACCAGTGTGACTGTGACCCAGGTTCCTGGTGGGGTTTGTTGGTGCCAGGGTGGGCAGTAACAACCTTGTCTTCCAAAAGTCAGGGTTTTGTGTTTTGATTGCTAATTGCTTCATTTCATCACTGACCAACTAGCAAAAAGGCTGGTCACTGTTTCAACATCTGCTGCCACCGGCCCCCCATTCCATCCCCACTCCCAGGCTGAAGCAGCTTCCCAGCCAGAAGGAGATTTAAAGTGACAGTACCCTTTTATTTCTCTCTCTTTTTTTTTTTAAAGATGACCGGTAAGGGGATCTTAACCCTTGACTTGGTGTTGTCAGCACCACGCCCAGCCAGTGAGCAACCGGCCATCCCTATGTGGGATCCGAACCCAGGGCCTTGGTGTTATCAGCACCACACTCTCCCAAGTGAGCCACGGGCCGGCCCTCTTTTCCCTCTTTTGATGAGCCAGACATTTAAGGAAATCTTAGGTCACTGGCTGACCACAGAGATAATAGAACAGAAACTTCAGTGACCCTACACCACAATGAATACACAGTTTGCAAAAATAGTTTGGAAAAGTCACAAACAGATGTCTCCAACCCTCAGCAAGCAAAAATCAGCAGTCCCTGAGGCATGAGAGAATTATATTACCAGTTACCACAACATAATACTCAGAATGTACCATTCTCAACAAAAAAGTACAAAACACAAAAAGAAATAGGAATGTGTGGCCCATTCACGGTGGGGGAGGCAGTGGGGAGGGGGGAGGAATTTGAGAGACACCACCCTTGAGGAAGTCCAGACAATGAAATTATTAGTCAAATACGTTAAATCAACTGTCTTAAATATGTTCAATGAGCTAAAAGAAACCATGGACAAAGAACTAAAGGAAATCAGGAAAACTATGTATGAATAAAATGAGAATATCAATAAAAAGATAGAAAGTATGAAAAGGAACCAAACAAATTTTAGAACTGAAAAGTACAGCCACTGAAATGAAAATCTTGCTAGAGGTGTTCAACAGAAGATTTGAGCAGGCAGAAGGGATTAGTGAATTTGAAGATAAGACAATTGAAATTATCCAAAGCAGCAGAAAGAAAAAAGAATGAAGGAAAGTGAACAGTCTGAGGAACCTGTGGGACATCATCAAGCATAATGATATATGCATTATAGAAAATCCCCAAAGAAGAGAGAAAGGGAAGAGATAATATTTGAAGACTTTCCTGATGAAAGACATGAATCTACACATCCAAAAAAATCAATTCCACTAGGATAAACTCAAAGAGATCCACATCAAGACACATTATATTAAAATTGTCAAAACCCAAAGGCAAAGAGAATATCAAAAGCAGCAAGAGGAAAGTAACCAAATCTTCAGTAAAATTAACAGCTGATTTCTCAGCAGAAACCATAGAGGCTGAAAGGCACTGGAATGACATATCTAAAGTTCTGAAAGAAGAAAAAATATGTCAAGCAAGATTTCTATGTCTGACAAAACTATCCTTCAAGAACGAAAGAGAAATTAAGACACTTTCAGAGCAACCAAAACTGAGGGAGTTCATTACCAGTAGATTTGCACAACTAGAAATGCTAAAGGGAGTATGTCAGGCTGCAATGAAAGGACACTGAACAGTAACTTGAAACCATAAGAAAAATTAAGAACACTAGTAAAGGTAACTTTATAGGGAAATATAAAATCCAGTACTATTGTACTTTTGACTTGGCTTGTAACTTTTCTCTTTTTCCTATATAATGTAAAAAGAAAATGCATAAAAAATCACACGTCTATGTTAATGGACATATAATGTAGTATAGGAGCAGTGTCTGTAAAATATCAAAACTAAGTTAGTATTAAATTAGATTGTTATAAGTTTAAGATATGAATTATAATCCCCAAGTTTTAAAAATACAACTTTTAAAAATACAGAAAAGGAAAGAAGGGAATCAAAATAGTACATTGCAAACTATCAAATAAATATATTTTAAAAAAGGAAGTAAAAAGGGGGCCAGACTGTGGCTCACTTGGGAGAGTGTGGTGCTGATAACACTAAGGCCACTGGTTCAGATCCTATATAGGGATGGCTGGTTAGCTCACTGGCTCAGCATGGCACGGACAACACCAAAGCCAAGGGTTAAGATCCCCTTACTGGTCATCTTTAAAAAAAAAAAACAACAGTAATGGAGGAATTGAAGAATCAAGGATGTATAAGACATACAAGAAACAAACAACTAAATGGCAGAAGTAAATCATTATCAGTAATCACATTAAATGTAAATGAATTAAGCTCTTCTGTTAAAGATTGGCAGATTGGATTTATAAAACAGGATTCATCTGTATGGTATCTACAGGAGACTCACTTTAGATAAGAGGACACAAAGTAGATGAAAGTAAAAGGATAGAAAAAGATATGCCATGCAAATAATAATCAAAATAGAGCTAGGGTGGCTATATTATCATCAGACAAAATAAACTTTAAACAAAGAAAGGTTACAAGAGACAAAGAAGGATATTATGTATTGATAAAAGATTAAACACAGCAAGAAGATATAATAATTATTAACATATATATTCATAATACAGCCCCAAAATATATGAAGCAAAACTTGACAGGATTCAAGGGAGAAATAGACAAGAATAGTTGGAGGCTTGAATTACCCCACTTTTAATAATGGATATAAAAACCAGATGAGAGATCAATAAGGAAACAGAAGATTCAAACAACACTATAAACCAATTAGACCTAATAGACATAAACAGAACACCACCCAACAACAGCAGAATACGCAGAATACACATTCTTCTCAAGTGCACATGGAATGCTCTCCAGGATAGACAATAAGTTAGGCCATGAAATGAATCTTAATAAATTTTTAAAAATTGAAATCATACAAAGTGCATTTCCAATCACAATGGAATGAAACTAGATGTTAATAATAGAAAACTGGAAAATACACAAATATGTGGAAGTTAAACAATATGCTCTTAAAAAACTAATGGGTCGGCCGGCCTGGTGGCGCACTGGATAGTGCGCCGCTTGGGAAGCGCGGCGGCACTCCCGTCCGAGGGTTCGGATCCCACATACAGACC